CCTCCCCCCCTCCCTCTCTCCCTCTCTCTCTCTCTTTTGATATACATATATGATATACATAGTGCTAGTAGCTGACTACAATGGACGTAGCTGCAGTGAGATATAATGTACAAAAAAAGATGTCGAAAGATTCGAAATCCGTATTCAGTTAAATTTCGGATCCGAAAGATCTGGATATCCGGTTCAATTGAATATTTCGAATTTATCTCTATCTCGGATATCCGGATATGTAGATAGTCGTCGACCCTAGATCATACGTTCAGTTTCGACTGTGCGCTTCAATCTTGTAACGAATTTGGAATTCAATTGACTTTATTCTCATTATTTTATAAGCTTAAAAGGTGATTGCTTAATATACAAAATATAATATAAAACAAAAAATAAAAACTGATTTCTGAACGACTTATAAAATCTGTTACGAAGACGTGTACAGTTCGACGTAAGACAAGTTAGGATTTATAAACAGTATCTATAATTTTTTAAAATGTGTTAATAAAAAAAATTATTTATTACAATAATACAAAATTTATAAATAACGACTAGAACTTTATTATTGCTTTTACATTGTAAAAATAATGATTTTATATACATATAATATTAAAACTATTATCCTTTCGCATAATTTATAATAATTTATTACTATTTATTATGATTAATAGATTACTATTAATCATAATAGTAATAAATTATTATAAACTATGTATAGTACTTTATATATCATTATTTTTGTATAGCTTCCAATAATTTTTTCTACAATTTTTGATTCTCAGAATATGACTCATCAAGAATGATGTTGCAGTCTGACAATAAGAGGACCAGTTTTGCACGAGTTTATATTTTTGACATTTTCAGGAGTTTAGCTTCTTTTTTTTTTGCGTTCTTGTACTAGTTTTTCGTGCGTTTTTTTCAGCGCTAGATGGTGACGAGGATCGTGTCCTTAAGCTACTGCAGAAGGGCGTCTTCGTCGATACGCCGGACACGACCGCCGGCTACACAGCGTTGCATTACGCAACGCGGAGTGGGCATTACAACACGTGCAAGATTTTGCTGCAGCACGGTGCGAATGTGAACGCGTGCACCCGCAGCTTGAGAGCGACGCCTTTGCATCGCGCGGCCAGCATGGGCCATGTTAAAATCCTCAAGCTGCTGCTTACCTACAAAGCAGATCCCAATCTGACAGATGTAGACGGTAGGACAGCTTTACATCGGGCGATTCCGACGATAGCCGGCTCCGCTGAGGGCATCGAAATCCTTCAGTCATTGTTGCGGATCACCGATCGCACTATCAAAGATAAATACGGGCAAACTGTCGATGACGTGTTTGAAAATTGGAAAATCACGCAGAGCGATGATGAAAAAATAAAAATAATAGAGAGATTGTTTTATCGCAGTCAGGAATAATAAGATGAGGATGAAAAATGTGTGGAATTGCAAGTATGCATTTCTCTTTTATAAAGAAATCTCGTGAAGCGCCAAGGTCTAATTTTAATAAAACTTTATATATGTAGGTACGTAGATAGAAGATTTAGAAAATATCAGAGCGGAAAACGGTTTAAGAAAGAAGTGAAATAACTTTTTGTATTATATAATTATAATGGTTTTTAACTTTTTTTCGTTATACTTCGAAAAGTATTTAAGATAGAAAATTTTATATAAAGTTTTATAAAGTTAGTTTTATATTTATCCAGATTAATTTTTTTAAATTATAGGGGAGAGTGGTCTAAATCGGACCTAGTTGCAGTTTTGTTCTCTATAAGGCGTAAATAAAGTCCGATCGTAAAACCAATGGTGCCGTTCGAAAGATCATTTAATTTTCTTCATTTTTGTTTCAGACCATTTTAACATATTTCTTACCTATGTCGAACTATAATAAAAAATGTAAAAATGCATTTTCCGGTCCGATTTTTATGAACTTTTAGATAGAATTTTAAAATATTTTAATTAATTTTTGTTAATATTAAGTAAAAACGAGCAATTTAAGACTCAAAGATAAAAATACAGTTTATATTATTAGAATTAAAATCAATAAAAAATTCCAATCTGAGTCTGATGACACATGATATTTTATTGATTTATGCCTGTTTCCACCAATGCAGATTAACTTTAATCTCGGTTTAACTTACTGTTCATCTTTTTTTAATTTTTAGAATTAGAAAAAGATAAAGAGTAAATTGAACCGAGATTAAAGTTAATCTGCATTGGTGGAAATGGGCATTAGTGTTCCTTAGACCAGATCTGGTCGGTCGATCACCAGTACTATAACCAGGTTGTGGCGAACCTTCTTTCTTCGATGAATTAACTGGCTTACTTGTCTTTTCAGTGATTTTTGTACAGGTCCGATTTGAACATCCAAAGAGAGGTTCGATATGAACACGGGTCCTTTCGAACTATTGGAACAAATTTACAATAAACCGCAAAAGTAATCACGAAACTCTTGATATTTTTGAATTCTACACTCTTTAATTATCTTAAATCATTGACTCTCTCTTACAAGGATTTTCTTTTTTAAAAAAATTTTTGCATGATAGCCAAAAATATATATTTGCGTCTATTCTATGAACGTTATGACAGAGTACTCTGCCAAACTGCTGTCACATGTTCGGTGTCTTATAAGGACTTTACATTATAAATAGCACGCAAATCTGCGTATTTATTTAATTTAAAAAGGTTCGATTTGGAACACGGTCTGATTTAGGACATTCTCCCCTATTGAATATAATTTTGGAAAATATTTCTTACAAATATTTATGTGAATAAATAGAGGTATTTTTATTGTAAAAATTTTGTACACAACATTTTTAAATATCTTGAATAGTTTTTGAAATATAATTTAAAAAAAAATAAAAATGATTTCACCCCTTAAAATCATTTTTTTCTAATTGATATTTTCTAAATTCATCAATAAAACTTATAAGGGTTTCATTAAAATCAGAATTTAGTATTTTGCGTTCTTTGTGAGATTGTTTCGTTAAATAAAAACGACTCAATAGATGCATCAACTAAATATAACATAACAACAATGTTATAACTTTACATTCAACAATGTAATTGTTATTTTTTAATTGGTGTGTTGAATTGGAGAGAAATAAAAATATTATAAAAGTATCTATAATTGTATTAAAACTTGTTGTTACACGCTCTTATAAATAAACAAAAAATGAATCTCTATAATATATGTCGGATAGATACAATAATAAAGTCTTCTGTGGAAAAAGGCTTCTCGATGCTCAAGAAGTAAGATGGAAAACTTGTGTGAAGTAATTTTCAAATGTTAGTGTAATAAGAATTATATTAATAGCGTATATATTAAAAATATAATATTAATAAAATATTTTCAAAAAGGAAAAATGTTACTTTTTTCATAATAATGTAACAGCTATTTCGAACTTGCGAAAGATCATTAGATTCTCATTAGTTATCTTCCTCTAAAGCCCGATCTACAATTGCGTAAACGTAGTTGTAATTGTAAGAATTGACTAATTACAGTTGAATACGAGGAGAATATTCGACTGTCATTGGTCAATTCTTATAACTACACCACTTACAACTACGTTTACGCAATTGTAGATCGGGCTTAACATTTCAACAAACCTGATAATTTACCGAATTACAGACAACACTAAAATTAAGATGTAAAAGACTTGTTTTTTTTTTTAGCTGAATTTCTTGCACGATTAATTTTTTTCTTATTCTAACGTTGGGAGGAAAAGAAGAAAAATGAATTGTACAAGAAGTTGAGTTAAAAAAGATGTCTTATAAGACATTTTTTTAACAGAAATTTACAGAGTATCCCATTGTTATTTGTTGAAACTGTATTGTATATATATATATATATACAATACAGTTTTATAAATCATATTAGGAACAAGAAAAAAAATTTAGTAGAGACTATTTGACATTAATATAAACTGAAGATGATTAGAAATACTTGTGTCACTTAAATATTTATAAAAAAAAATATTGTTAATCTTATTTAAAGAAATTAATTTTCTTTTGACGAAAAATTAAACAAGGTTTTTTTTTAATTTCTGAAATATAGTATATCATTAAAAATTTAGCATTTTGAAAATATATGCCATATATAAAAATTAATAAGAGATTGACGATATTTAATATTTTTATAAACATTTAATTAAATACAAATATTTTATTTGATTTTGGTTAAGATCTTTCACATACGATCCACAAAAAATAAAACATAAAAATAAAATACATAAAGTCTGCCAATTGCTGCATTTAACAGAGGATTCTAATCATGTTATCACAGCTTCTGGAAATTCTGTGCAAACAAGGAAATAGAATATTCACGATATATAAAAAGATCCATTAAATTGACAAATGTTAGAAGCAATTGACGTAAAAAAACGGTTTTAAACAATTCTACAAAAGGATCGCCAATTTCGATCAACAAAAGGAACAAGTGTGCAATAATATTTTATTATATAAAAAATACGAGGACGGCGGATTACGTAAATGTACTCTTGCGATGATTGTATGACTTTGGAATATTTTTTATTGTAATGATTCTTACTGATGATGGTCTAAAATAGAGAGAGAGAGAGAGAGAGAGAGAGAGAGAGACCGAAATGTCTAGACAAAATTAACGCTTATTTTGAATAAAGGACATTCGCTCATTATAACTAGCGCTGTATGCTCTTTGTTTTGTTTTGACAAATATTTTCAATCGTCTTCACTTTACATACAAATAAAACTCACATACTTTCTACTAAAAAAATACTTCATTTTGCCTTATTCTCTATATGCGTTTAAAGATAACAGCTGATTGGTTTCAATTTCCCAAGGGACACTCCGGTATATAATACCAGCCAATTTATTACTGCAAGACAGTAATTATTTATTTGGAGCGAAAGCACTAAACAGTTTAATCTTTAATACTTAAAATAATTAATCAATCGCTATCTTTCACTATTAAATTGATCAGATTAGTATCAGACTTCTATAAAAGTTTTAGTAGACGACTCCTGCAAAACTAAGACATTTTATAGATAATAATATCTTATAATTCTTGTGTTTCGATCTTCTGTTGTTCGAGTATAACAATTGAACGTGCCAAAAAATTCGCGGACGACAACGCGAAGCGATGCGACGTTCACGTGAAAGAGTACGACATATACACGCGACCATCCGTCCGTCTGCGCGCGCGACGAACGGACATGCGGCCGCATAGGGTCGTGCACTTGATATTGAAGCGGCTTCGTGGCGCTTCGGCGACGCTCGGCTGTCTCCGGGTGTTCTCGATGCGGTGGCCGCCGGAGCCCCGAAGGAGCGGCGGCGGTGGAGTCTCTCACGACTCGCGATAAAAACAGCGCTGCCCCCTAGCGGCGCTACCACTCTCTCCCCCTCCTCTACTCTCCGAATGGTCGTTCGTGGTGCGGCCGCGCCAGTCGTTGCACGACGGGGAGTCGTCAGTCGTTTCACGAGTGATATCAACCGCGGGTTCGTTCGCGCGTGCCGCCAAGCAAAAGCGTGGCGTCGCTCGCGCCCGTTTTCGTCGTCGACCACACGACGTCGTCCATCATTTTCGCGTGAAACCCGTGGCGATCAAATATAGTGCGGTGTACCCACGACACGATTTACGGGACAGTCGGTCGCGTCAGTGACAAAATATCGGCCGCTCTCTTTTTCTCTCTTGCTCTCGCGCGCGGCGCCGCTCGTCGTCATCATCGTCGTCGCCGTCGCCGCCGCCGCCGCCGCTGGCTGTAGAGTCTCCTTCGCGTTTACGTCCACGCCCGTTTCGCTCCGTTTCGTTCGGCGAGAGCTCGGGCCTTTTTCCCGTCGTCGCGATCTCGCGGCGCGAGTGACAATTCGGCTGGAGAGCGAGCGGCGATGTAACGTCGTCGCGCTGCTGTGACGTCACGTACGACGTCGGGTCGCGCTATAATCGAGAAGTATACACACAGAGAGAGAGAGAGGCACATACACGCGCGCGCCCAACTTCACCAACGCGAAAAACCCTGAGCGGACAGCGCGCGCGCGCGCGCTCTCCGTCCGTCGTTGCCCGCCGTCATCATAGTCATCATCGTCGTCGTCACCGCTGCACGCTACGTCTCCATCTCCTTCTGCGTTCCTGTTCGCATAACACACATACACACATCCGCGGCGCTTCGTTATACGCAATAACGCGGCGCGGAGACGTGAAAGAGGGAGGGAGAGAGAACGCGCGGGGATGTCTGTTGCGTGCAAACGGTGAGAGATAGAGCGAAACGGAGGAAGGATAGACCGCGCGCTGCTGGTAAGATCGCGAGAAACCGTCGTCGCGGGGAGAAGGGCGAGCGAGAGCGCGATAGATAAGGACGGAAGAGAGAGAGAGAGAGGAGGAGGAGAGAAAGAAGCACACGCACACATATATGCGCTCTCGCCGTGAGCGCGGAGTCGACGGGGGAAAGGGCGAGGAGGGCGGGGCGGGGGACGAGGCGGGCGCGCGGCGGGACGTTCCGCCGCCGCCGCGACGTACTTGCGTGTCCTGTCCAGCAACAGCGGGGCCCGCCAGCGCGGCGAGAAGGAGGTACACGCCGCTGCGGAGGATGAGAAGAGCGACGACGAGGCCGCCGGTCGCGAGACACAGCTACCCCGCGACCAGATAGACCCTTCTGGAAGGCTCGAGCGCGACGCGGCGCCTCGTACGACGTCGTATTCGCGTCGCGTCGCGTCGTCGTCGTCGTCGTTATTATTATTATTATTGTCATCATTGCATCGCGCAGCAACGTTGCGCTGGCACGCGCGTTTCCGACACACGTGCGAAGCGGAATATAAAGGAGATAAGGCGGACGCGTATCAACCGCATCCCGTGGCGCCCCACTGTGTTTTTCTGCGGAAAGAACGACGATAGAAGAGGAGGAGGAAGAGGAAAGGAAGAGAGAGAGAAGCAGACACGTCGCCGTGTATTTCTCAGATATTTCTCTCGCAGCTGGCTCTCGCGGCTGTGCGCGCGTCGTTTCCGCCGTCCGTCCCCCGTGCTACGTTTTTTTTGGAGCGGCGCTCCAGACTTCGGGGCCCTCTCTTGCGAAAGAAAGGAAGAGGAAACGGTGAAGAAGGAGCGAGAGAGGAGAAGATATACAGCCTCGACCTCAAACTCGCCGACGGCAGCGCGAAACGAGAATGGAATCGTCGTTGTTCCGCGGATAAGTCGGTCGTCGGTCAGTCAGTCAGTCAGTCGTCTCCCCGCGTGTTGTGTCGTCCGCGTTCGCGAAAACGTTGAAACCTCGTTTCTCTCTCTCTCCGCGGGGGTGTTGCGCGAGAGTAACACCCGAGAGCGGAATTACCAGTCCGCTTTATAATGCACGGCGGCGCGCCGGATCGCGCGCGACGCCGCAAGAAAGCAGCGGCCGGGTTTCTACGTTCCGTTTTTATTCGCTCGTCGGACGGTCCGCTGCTCCGCTGAGAGTCAAGTTCGTCGCGCTCCGCTGTGCGCGCCGCCGCGTCCGTGGCGCGCTCTCGCGCGGCGTTCACCATCGCGCTTTCGATTGTGCGTCGCCGCACCGCACCGCACCGCACCGCACCACGGTCTGTGTCTACCTGCGAGAAAGAGTGAGAGACCGTCTGCGGGGACGAGGTAAGACGCGTGTCTTCTATCTTCTTTTTTTTCTTTTTTTACATTTTTCTTCTCTCGATCTCCGAGTGATCGGAGTCTCGTGCGGCACAGCGGGTCTGTTTTCTTTCGGTGACAGTTTCCACAATGTTTTCCCAATGTTTATGTGTGTCCTCTTTTCTTTTTTTTCGAGGTGTCAATGGTCGTACGGCGTGTAAACGCCCGTGTTTTGTCACGGCTGCTCCAGTGTAGAATGGTGTTGCCGAAAAGGAAAAGGGACAGACCCTCGTGTTTCTTAATTTGAAAAGAAAGATACCGGCCTGACGTTTGGAGCGAAATGATTCTTTTTGACCAGTGCAGGGTTTAGGAAACTTTCGATACTATCGGGCACACCCTCATTTATACTTGAAACAACAAATTTCGATATTGGACATTTATCTCTTGGTAAACAGGTATTTTTTTTCTTTTTTTTTTTGCAAACTTGACTCTTGACATTCGTGTCTCCAGAATTTCTGTAGTATTCAATAGTAATTGTGCTATTTTATTGATAATCAAATTATAATTATATCAGTTTCTTTTCAACATAAACTCCAAGAGGAAACATTTGTAATTCCTTATATCTTTCTAGGTTTGCTGCTGAAATGTGCATTGTCCACATATTGATTTTAATTTTTAGTTTAACACATTGATTATACTCTTCAAAATACCTTTTTATTTGTTGCTAAATAAGCAGATGTTTCATGTAAATTTGATATTCTCTCTATAAGAATTTCTGTAGTAATTTTAATGTATTATTATTGACAGATTATTAAATTATAGTATCAATCTCTTCCCGACGCGTGTATGAACCTCGAAAGAAGACGTTTCATTTCTCTTGGCCTTACGTCTTTCTAGTCGCTACTAAACGTGCATTGTACAGGAATCACACATCTAACACATTGAACATAATCTTCAGTGTTAAATAACTCTCGTCCCTCTTGAAACATGCCGAGCTTTCGCGTTTTTCTTCCGACTAAACATGCCATTAGTAACCCAATGCTTCTTTCAGAGTAAATTCCACAATTTTGTTTCGCAACGATGAGCTATTCGGACTCATTTACACGGATACGTCCATTATCTCGGAGGAAGAGGAGGAGGGGGGAAGCCCAACCGCGATAGCGAACGATTGATTACTTTATGGCGCGGCGAATACATTTTTGAAAGGAACAAACATGTCTCTCTTTCCACTTCTCTCACACGCTCGCCCCCAAGGGCCGAATAACAATAATGGGAGGATAAAAATTTTGGACAATGGCAGTGGCACATTTTCTACGAACGAACGCGGGGTCCGTCTAATTTTCGATCTCGTGGATTCTCTCGTTTCTGTGTTAAATTTTTTCTCGGTCTAATGAGCTCGAGAAAGCCCACGGTCGCCCTAAGGGCATGTCACGCGATCGCATCGCCTAAGCCACTATTCGAAGAAGGAGTTACAATGTACTCGCATTGTATACACCAAATTGTATAGGCCTACCTCTACAGGCCGATATTTTTATGTGTGTTTCGAGGACTACGGCTCGTACAGGGCTCCTGAGAATCGCCGTGGTTACGCAAAACCTTTCATTTTTTAAAAGAAGACTACGAAACGTCGTCCTTGTTTTTTATGAAACTATACTAGTGAAATTGGCCATTTTGGCCAAATCCAGAAGGAAAGCCAATATTTGTGCCTTAGTATACCATTGATATTTTTATCTTTGGCAACGTATGATACTATATTATGTTAATTATACAAAAAATTTAGTTTCAAATAAGTCACATTAGTTTTTCTTTTTTTCTGTATATTTTTCCAATAAAATATATTAATTTTATAATTTAACATTTGAAAATTATATATTAAAAAGTTTATGGAAAGATTTTTTATTATCAAAATTTTTGTTCCAATTATACGATATATTTTCTTTCCAAAATTGAAGATAATGTTTTACAGATAACAACAATGTACAGTTATATGTAATTTAAAATTTGTAATTTTTGGAGGACAAATTATACGATTATCAAATTGTGAAAATTGAAATTGTTAATAATATATTTAACATATTTAATGTCACACACATTCAAGAAGATAGAGAGAGAACTTAAGGAAAGTAGCGGTGTAACAGTAATACAAGGAAAAGGAATACAGCTTTATTCACAACTTTCTAATCTCTGTTTAGTCTTTACTTAACAAGCCGACAAAGTTACGAGTTTTTCCTTCGAGACCCTTTAAATTGCGTAACATGGGAGCAGCGGCGGGGTTATTTAAATAGTACCACTTGAAGTGCTAACCTCATAATGCTGACGTGTCGTAAACGTTACGACCTAAGTCGACAGGGCCGTATGTTTCTTTCTCTTTCTTTCTCCCAATCTCATATTTCTTATCGGCATTTTCTATAATTGAAACCGATTTCAGAGGATCTTATCTCAATTCTTTTTCTTGCTATTGTAAATTGTATTCGCTTGCCATGAAATAATAATTGCAGGCGTTGCAAAATAGCCTGTTGTCTATATAGAAATCTTCTCTCCTTTATGGAAGGAGATATTGTGTGCCAGATACATTCTTAAAATTCAATTTATCTGCGCTTACATATTTATTACGACGAAATATTTCGGTCACGGTACGGTTTTTAATAATTTAATGAGAAAAGAATGGAGACTTTGAAACGGATATGTTCCAATGTTTCCATGTAACACATTGTATAATACAATGCAGTCACATTATTTCCGTGGAAACCACCTTTTGCGAATAACGCGATGCGGTTTTCGGGTAAAAAACGACGGTTGCACTTTGCAGTTAGGCTGTTTTTCGCGTGACGTGAGCACCTTAAAACGTAAAACCTTAAAACGAGCGTTACGTTTGTTGTGGAGAATATGTGAAAATTATAATTGACGACGCTCTCTTTAACTCGATGCAACATGATTTCGGAATTAATTACATTCGGCGTATTTCAAATGCGAATTCGACATCGAGGCGTAATTCAAGTATGTGTTGAAAAAAAAAAAAATGCAGGCCAATCGCTATATCGCGGCTTCTAAATTCACATGGTGCGACTGACTATGTGTGCGTGATTTTTCGCTACCACATCTGTAGTGGTGCAGAATCGCTGCACGATGAGTCACTTAATATATCCGCGGATAGTGAGAAAAATATTTCACGCATCGTATACGACGTTTTAATACGTTGGATTAATGTCGTTTTAAAAGAAAAGTCTGATAGCAGGAAGTGACGTCCTACTTTGACCTTAATTTAAACCGACATAGGAAAGGAATGTATAATTCAATGACAAGTGGATCTAATTCCGGTAACATTTTTAGAAGACGTACTCGGAAAGGACAGTTTTGCTGAAGTATCTTAAAATTTAGCTCGGATATAGATTCGAAGATAATTCTGTTGAATTATCAAATAATTATACAGAACACTTAAGTTGGCTGTTTAATAATATCAAAATTTTTTGCATCATTGCTCTTGACATGCGTTTCTTAACTATACATATATAATTTAATGGTCCAACAAAATTATTTTGCGATCTGTATATCTACTTAAATTTTCAGATATTTTAACAAAACCATTTTTTCCATATAAGGATAACATATAAAAAATGTCGATACGCAAAACGATTTTTTTATTGAAACGACTAAGAGAAAGCTTGATTGATGTTTGTAAAATTGACAAGATGTTTTATTAATTAAAAAAAAAGACAACAGTTTTATAATAGCAACTTTGATAGAAAGTATTGTACGATAATTCTACAGTTCCTAATAAAAATTGAAAAAAAGTTTTACATTTTTAATATGAAAAATAAAAAATAAATGATCGCGAATTTTTTCTTAGGTTATTACTTTTCTTTTTTATTATTATTTTCCATTGAAGGGCCTGACGTTGGAATTGGTCGCGGAGTTCCGGACACCCCGTAGACCCCTCGACGATAAATTGCGCAAATTCGCGACGGAGCGTCGTCGTCGACGCGACGGCCGACGACGATATCGATCTCCCCGAGTTTTCCTAAACGCGCCCACGGTCTACATATGTTTCGGAAGCGAGAGAATGGGCCGTGTGGACATGCGCCGCGCATGCACGCACCGGGGCTATTGTATTAATGGCAGTGCCTCTCGTCGTGCGCGACGCCATGTGATGCGCGAGGTTACACCGTGGCCGCGACGACGGGAACGACAGTTGGTTGCGTTGCGGAGAGGCTCGATATTTCGAAACCTGCCATTAGTTGCGGATACGTTTAACCTTCTCGCTCGCTTTGCCTCGCCGAAAACGGGGGAAAAACGCAAGCGAGCGTCCTCGCGGTTTCACCGAAGGCGCGATTTCGTACCATGTACAGAGACACGTCATAGCTGTTCGGAAAAAAATAATAACTGGTCGGAAGATTCCAACTATAATAATGTGTGCGATTAAACGATATCTATATGTAGTAATAGTGAGCATGTGTAAATTACACGATCAAGTGTAATTTTTATCTCGTAATAAATGATTAAAATTAAGTAATTTAATATTGCAGTATTTTTCCTTGTTAAACATTTCGCAGATTTCATCTCGATATGATAAATAAAATTATAATTTTTAGCTTTGAATGAGAGAAATTTTTTTTATGTACCAAAAATTATTAAATATTTCTATCGTAATACGCACAATTCTCGAGTAATAATCGCAAGTTGTGTTATCTCGTAAGGCGTTACAATGGTAACATTGTTCTGGAAGGCTGAACATTACGTTTGTTGTCTTTTTTCACATCTACACATGCTGTGAAAGAAAATATCTAGTGATTTCTGAGAGATACAAAATTTATTTCTTACGTATTTAGTTCCTTAATTATTGTATAATTTCCTTGAAATTTTATAATTATATTACTATTTTACTTCGATAATGATACATTTTACACAATTGGAAAAGTTTTTTTAGTCAAATTTAACATAACATTTCATGTGTCTCAAACGACGTCCATCTTGTGTCAATTTTACGAACGTGATTTATGAATATGTTAGAAAGTTGTATAAAATTAATATTAATAATGCAATATTTTGACACCATTTGAAAATAGAAACATTTTTTAAATAAAATTAATATTTATAATTTGTTAAATTAACATACATTTCTTAAATCAACGTACATTCATCTTTTATCTATTTATGTTATTGATTTTGCCTTTTAAGTACATTAGTTACATGCGTTATTTATTCATAAATTGTGTTATTTTAACACACTAATGAATTTTAAATGTCAATTTATCACAAAATATTCGTAACATAATCACACGTTGAATTAATATTTGGGAGCGTTAAAAATTAAATATAAAATTTTAACAACATGTTTAACACAAATAGAAAATATTTTTTACTGTGTACGATTAAATTAAATGTACATTCTACGTTTTATCTTTTTTTTTTTTTATACAGAACATAAATTAATTTTTATGCAGAAAATAAATATAATGTGCTATAAAAATAACTATATAGTTATAACAATTAAAATAATCGGCCGTGATAGTCAGAGGAATGAGATAAGGAATAATGATATGGTAACACGATACTTTCAATGATGTATGTTTATGAGAAATATGCGAATCTATTTCTGTGTGTAAATAGTATAACTGCTGTTTTTATATTATTCCAGCAGGATATCGGTAACCGTTTGTTCGCTAATGATTCCGCCGATTACCTCACAGATAAGCTAGAAACGACGATGCGTATTACGAGCTTGTCACCGAATGCAAAACGCGTCGAACGCATCGCATAATGCGTTCGACGTAATACACGACGCAATTTTTTTATTCGTTCCGCTCATTAACGCGTTACGTGGACTCATTTTATAGCACGATACTCTTTCTTCCTTTCCGTTCGCACTCACACGATTGTCACTCTCTCGCTCACCTGGCGTTTACTGTTGTCATTTCCAGGATCGATTTGCTCATCGAGATCAGCACAAAAAAGTCCTTGAACTTGGTGGATTGCGAGGAAGTTTGGAAAGATCAACAGGATTCCACGGCGGCGGAAGCGAAAAACTTGGCCAATTCGGGCTTTCGCCGAGCAGGAAGAGCTTGAAACAACAACTCGGCGGACTCGAAAAAAAATCGAAAGTAATCTGAGAGAAGGAAGGAAGGAATCGCGGAGGAGGGCCCGGCTTCGAGGAAGAGACACTCCCATCGCTCGTGCTATGGGCCCACCCTGACGACGTGTTGTGTACGCGTCTCGATAGAGAGATCACGTTGTGTTCGTCGATCACGCCATCGTTCAAGCCGGGACCGACGGTGCTCGTGAAACTCTGTCGTGATCCAATTCGTGTGTGAGGTACCTCGTCTGCACCTGCCGTGTGCGTCAGAGAGAAAGAACGTGGTCGACAGTGCGCGGCACGGGCTTTGGGTATCGAATGTCGTCGAGAAGACGTCTGAAAATCGTCGGCGGAAGGACGACGATGCAGTTTCCAACTCATCATCGGATGTCCCCGTCGAGCTCGGTCGGCTAATCGACGATTAATCGCGAGAACGATATCCACGCGCGTGTACACGTTAACTTCGTTCCCCCGAAAGTATTCGAGAACGGGAACGCAACCGTATACGTGTGTGTAGGTATATGGACCAAAAGCCGTGGGAAAAGGTAGATTCGAACGGATTCGCGGTTATTCTTTCCCGTCGGGGTTTCTTTCCCTTCTCTTCTTTGTATCTGAATCGCGACGGAGAGAGCGTGTTGATTTCTGTGATACTGGTGTCGCGCGTGGTGGTTAACGACCCTGTTGTCGCTTGGTGGTGATATCGACGGTGTAGTGGTGACAAGTTCTGTTGGTGCGCGAGGGTGGTGTCCCATAAGAAGGAAGAGAAGAAAGGAGGGAAAGAAAGAGAGAGAGAGAGAGAGAGAGGAGAACGTCTCTCGTGCAAGCGTGACTTTCAATTCATTACCACGGATCTCCCCCGGCAATTCGACGCCGCGCCCACCCTCGATGAGAGGAGGCACATGTCCATTGCTGCCACTGAAAATGCAGGGTGAGTCTCTCAGATCCATTTATCTTGGTCACAATTATCATTTGTCGCGTGAATCTATGTGGCGTCCCAACAGAATTAAATCGGTCACTTTGGAAACAATGGGGCAGGTCATAATTTTCGGGAAACGAGACAGTTAACGGGATGTATTTGCGAAAGTGTAGATCGCCCAGTTTTTTTTTTTTAGCGCAGAAACGATAAGTAAGTTTGTACAACACCTGTAGCGGAATGTTACGTTCTAGATATTAAATCGTTTGAAAACAATACATGTTTCAAAAATATGAATAGTAGCTTTGACGAAATTGGTGGAAAATTCGATAAAATGGATGTTAAAGCGTGATACTTTGCACACGAAAAGAACGATTTTGCTGCACTGGAAAGAGTCTAGTTGTATTAATTGAGAAATTTCGATTTAAAATGGACAAATCAGAATTATCTGATCGAATCTATTAAATTCTAGTTGAGATAAGAAGAATTCTGAGATTGATCAGAATCTACTGCTGGTTCATTCATTTTTTTCAATCAGTTTTTTTTCAGTGAAATATTCTTCAGTGAAGTATCTAAAAATTTAGCTAAATTTAAAAATAATTTTGTTTGGATTGGATTATTAAAGTAATTATGTAGGAGATATTTAGAACTGAACAATATTTACTCCATTATCGGGATTAAGTTATAAGCGATATAATCACACTCAAATTGGTTACTAGAATGTTAGGGCTAGAATGTTAATTGCTACAGCATTGTTATAAAGTGCTCTCTATATTTTGATGGTCCAATAAAATTATTTTCAAATCTGTATCTAACGAAATTTTTAGATAACAAAATCGTTCTTTTGTGCAGGAAGATACAAGTTAATTAGAAAAATAATCTTAACTAAAGAAAAAATGATTTTTGATACAGCAGTTTTTGGTCTGTACTGTATAAAATGACTATATTATCGTCTCATTGAATAATTTCAGTTATCGGACTTATAACGTTTTCAAATTGACCGATTTAATTATGTATAATATTCAGCTCTGTGTAGATTTGATTGATTCAGGAGCGAATAAATCAATTTTTTAAAATGATTTTTATATGTAACTAAAATTATTATACATATATGGTATACGTCCTAGTTCTCAATATGGTTGAGTATGGACACGTTGAGTATAGAATGTCAAATCGAAAGTATCAGACAAATTGCTCTATTTATATGTTAAATATGTTCCTAATTGAAGATAAAAGTATGCAAATTAGATATAATTGGGTTTAATCACTCGCATAGAAGATTCAGACCTCCGCCATCGAACGTGCGGTATTATATTAAATACTCGATAGAAGAATTTTATACCCAAGTGTCAAAAATAAAACTTTCGAGATAATAATCATTCTTCTAAATAATATTTCACTCGTTCAGAAAAATTATGGCAAAAGATGTTATTTTTATATGTCATATAAATCTTTATGAGGAAAATTCGTATGGATTTCTATTTATTTCTAGATACAGAAAATCTTGAAAAATTATATTTCCAACATAAGATAATGTAGCAGTTGTTTTATTCGAACACAGATTCTTTTTTAACAAAGAGATGTTTCAAATATATGCAAGGTTCTTGTTTTTATATCAAATGTTTCGACTTTCGATCAGTTTCTGTTTCTTCGAAAATCTGATTTAAAATACTGTCTTAGCTAAAAATATTAGGTACCTTATTAATCATTATTTAAAATTTTAGCTCAAAGATTGATTTATAGCACTTGCTATAAATTTCAAGAACCCTTAAACTTATGCATAATGCCGGTAACCAACAGATAATAATGCGGATAAAAGAATTCCAGATAAATTAAAAAAATATAGATGTCTAATATTTTTGACCAAGGCTATACGTGTTTCCGAATCGGAGTATCAATATATCTGTCATTCGACATGTCAAGCATATAAATCAGAATAAAAATCAGTGGGAAGGGAATCAAGTTTTCCATGATAGATAGAGTGCCATTGTTCGGCTGCAAGTTATTAGGATGTTTTTAGATATTTGAGGTAATGTCCTGACCCGGTCGACGAGTTTAATATCATGCTGAAACTACGTCAGAGATACCGATGACGTCACGCTATCGCCTCGCAATTTTGAGAATCACGACGCATGCGTCGTTACGGTTCAATCGTTGCGCTTGACCGTACGTCGATTCGGGAGAGAAAACGAGAACTAGGTAACATTTATTATAAATCGGGAGAAATTACGTCAGCATTTGAATAACGAAAAGTAGGTCATGTTCTCTGTTCTCCAAAATGCGAGAAATATTACTCTACTGTCGAATAATTCACTTCAGAGCAATTTATATTTGTTTTTCTATATATGAAAAACAATTTATATTTGTTTCCACCTAAAAAAACAAAATATATTTCCATCACGGAAATAAAGGAATAAATTAATGAATTTATTTGATAATAATTTTATACAATTGATTAAAAATATTAATTAATGAAATATTTGGGAGAATGCAGAAAGATGATCATCATATTGTATGTATTCACGTATCTATTTAACTTTTTCTTTATAATCTTTATATTTATTTGTAAGATAATGATGAATTAAGAAATTTCAACGAAATAATATCTTTGCTCGCAACTTTCTTAAGTCACGGAAAGGTTTTTGCCTTTAGAAGAGTATCTAAGAATTTAACTAAATACAGATCTGAAAATAATTTTGTTGGATTTCATCAAAATAATTGTGTATAGAATGTTTATAACAACGTTATTACAAAAAGTTCTGACATTTTTTATTTATCCAGCTAAATTTTTATATACTCCATCAAATCGTTGATTTTTCCATGTGGCATCAGAGACAATACCGAAGTACGAATACTTTGGCTTCCGATACTTTTACTTTCGGCATTATCCAGGTACACATGGTGTCCCGACATGCGTCGACCTGTCGCGTCTCCACGTGCGCGCCCAATATGGCGCGGGGGGACGCGCGATCGAGGAAAGGAACTGCACTTGACTGGCTGTTATATTTAGGTTTTAGCAGAAAGCGAGTAGGAGAGTCCTTTGAGAGCGCCGCAGCCCCGCTCCTGCCGACTGCTCATTCTTCTCTTCGTCGAGAGGGGTGGGTGGAGGGGATGCTCTCGGGATCCTCTTCAGGCGCCTTCCGCACGGTTTCCGCCGAATCTACTCCCCTTCCTTTCTCCGCCGGGTCTGCCCCTTTGTCTGTACCTGGGCTAGATGTATACCTCCCTCGTATCCCTGTGCGACGCGACCGGCCCCTCCCTCGTAGACGTCTAAGTATCCGTTACCGCTGCAATCAAGCGACCGCCAACTATTCTTCGGTGGTTCTCTCGATCCCAACTATCGCTAATAACGGGCAGGTTCGGTCGATTTTTCGCGGGTCCACGGATAACAGGGAAGAGAGCGATGCACAGCCGGGATTGGTGAATGTAGCGTGGGATGTTATTATGTACACGTAGGGTGATTACCTTGCGGAAAATAAGAAATTAATTGGACTTATCGAGACACTGATTCTTTCGTTATTATTTTAATAAATTTATATGCTTTTTGTATCTCTTTACACTAGTTTTGGCTTCGTTCGGGCTTGATTTCGTTCGTTAAAAGTTTTACTTTTTTTTTTTTTTAAATGAGAATCCAGAAGAGAATGTTAATCGGGCACTTCAATGTTCGAATAAAATGAAACGGCACGTTGAACCACGGTAAAATTGATCTCGTCGACACGTTTGCCAACCGTGAGAAGTATAGAGAAAGAGCCGAGATAACGCGGGAATCGTACTGGTTTGGTGAGGTGTCCTTGATTTTTTTTAGCGAGAGTAAAACGGAATGATGGGCGAACCAATTGAATGCGCGCGCGCAATAATTACCATCTTACGAGAGCCTTTCATAATTCCGTCCGTAATATCTAACATCGCGCCTCTGTCGTGTTCGCATTTTTCGCCAATAAAATCTCGCAATAATTCGCACGTTATGGAAATGACGCTGATAACTCAAGCGCCCGTGGCGTCTCTCGTTTTGCCAGGGCGCGTATACAAGTCTACACGGCGCTCTCGACTACTTAATACTCCATTGCCGCAATAGACTTCGTTACATGTGGTGGCGTGTAAATTATCGATAAACTTTTGCGCCGTGAGATATTCCCGCGCGAATAGAAACCGC